CCCCCCCAAACCCTCCTCCCGGCCCCCCCAGCCCCTCTCCCCCTCGGTGGGGGCCGATGGGGGCAACCGTGTGGCAGTGCCCGGGCACGAGCCCCTTCCCGGCCGCGCGCGCCCCGACACGTGTCGCAATAGTAATGTAATTTGTACGTTAACAATGGGCAGCTTGAGGTTTATATTTAATTACAACGTTTGCACCAACCTGAACTCACCCTTATTCATCAATAATGCATGGGTTTGTGTTTATCGCTGCTTAATTAATCTGTGCTTACGACAATTAAAGGCTTGCAAAATCCCCAAAGGTGGCGGCGGGGAGCGGCTGTGCCGGTGTTGGCGCGGTGGCGGTGCCAACCCGGTCACGGTCCCGGCGCGGTGGCGGTGCCGGTGTGGCGGCAGGAACCGGGAGCAGCTGCAGAACGGGGTGACACCCCCCCCCAAACCCCATATCCTTGGGGGTACCCACATCCTTGGGGGTACCCACATCCTTGAGGGTACCCACATCCTTGGGGGTATCTCCATCCTTGGGGGGTATCCACATCCTTGAGGGTACCCACATCCTTGGGGGGTATCCCCATCCTTGGGGGCATCCCCCCGGGGGAGAAACCCCCTCCTGGGTGAGGGGGGAACCCCTGGAAATGGGGTGCTGCGTTGTGGGGGGGTCACCCCCCTCCCTGCCTCAGTTTCCCCCAGGAGAAAACATGGTTATCGCAGCCACAGGGTGCAGAGCCACCCCACAAACGCCGTTTTTCTTCATTTTTCCCATTTTTCTCCATCTTCTCCCTCCCCTGGCGCCCCGTCTCCCCCCAGGGATGGGGGGTACCCACATCCTTGGGGGTATCTCCATCCTTGGGGGGTATCCACATCCTTGAGGGTACCCACATCCTTGGGGGGTATCCCCATCCTTGGGGGCATCCCCCCGGGGGAGAAACCCCCTCCTGGGTGAGGGGGGAACCCCTGGAAATGGGGTGCTGCGTTGTGGGGGGGTCACCCCCCTCCCTGCCTCAGTTTCCCCCAGGAGAAAACATGGTTATCGCAGCCACAGGGTGCAGAGCCACCCCACAAACGCCGTTTTTCTTCATTTTTCCCATTTTTCTCCATCTTCTCCCTCCCCTGGCGCCCCGTCTCCCCCCAGGGATGGGGGGGTTGGTGCCCCCCCGAGCCGGGCAGCGTTTACGACAATTAAAGGCTTGCAAAATCCCCAAAGGTGGCGGCGGGGAGCGGCTGTGCCGGTGTTGGCGCGGTGGCGGTGCCAACCCGGTCACGGTCCCGGCGCGGTGGCGGTGCCGGTGTGGCGGCAGGAACCGGGAGCAGCTGCAGAACGGGGTGACACCCCCCCCCAAACCCCATATCCTTGGGGGTACCCACATCCTTGGGGGTACCCACATCCTTGAGGGTACCCACATCCTTGGGGGTATCTCCATCCTTGGGGGGTATCCACATCCTTGAGGGTACCCACATCCTTGGGGGGTATCCCCATCCTTGGGGGCATCCCCCCGGGGGAGAAACCCCCTCCTGGGTGAGGGGGGAACCCCTGGAAACGGGGTGCTGCGTTGTGGGGGGGGTCACCCCATTCCCTGCCTCAGTTTCCCCCAGGAGAAAACATGCCTATCGCAGCCACAGGGTGCAGAGCCACCCTGCCAAACGCCGTTTTTCTTCATTTTTCCCATTTTTCTCCATCTTCTCCCTCCCCTGGCGCCCCGTCTCCCCCCAGGGAAGGGGGGGTTGGTGCCCCCCCGAGCCGGGCAGCGTGGCCAGGCCGTGCCCACGCCAGCTCTGTGCCTTTAAGCGCGGCGCGGCGCGGCTGTCCCGGATCAGCCGGAGCGCCTATTAAAATTTTATGCGAAGTGTAAATGGGCCAGGTCTCCAGCTTCCCGCTCCCTCCGAATGATTTATTACTCGCAAATACCACAGAACTAATTAGTATAGTAATTAATTAATACGAATTTGCATATTTGCATGTGCAATTAGTGCAGTGGAGTGATTACTCTGAAAATGAGAAGTTGGGCTTGTCAGATGGTAGTGTGAACTGGAGTGGAAAAAGCCTCGTGCAAATGAACCCGGGCACGCGGCGGCACGCGGCGGCACGAGCCCCACGCCGCGGCGGCACCGGGAGGGCACCAGGCCCCACGCCCGGGAGATGTGGGGTGCTGGGTGGTGGGGGGGGTTGTTCAATCCTGGGGACCCCCCCACACCCCACCCCATAACCCTGGCCTGGCCCCGGGCCCCCCCTGCCATGGGGACGGCTCCATCCATCCCTCGGCCATCTCCATGGCGACTGGCAGTGCCAGGCGCGTCTCCATGGCAACGGGCCGGGCCGCACAGCCTCGCCATGGTGACTGTCGTCATCGGCGCCCTGTCGCCATGGAGACACCCCCCCCCCAACACCAACACCTCCCCAAATCCACTCCCTGATGGGTGTCCCACCCCCCCAAAACCTCCATGGCTCAGGGTGCTGCTCCCCCCGGTCCCCAAAACCAGCCGGGATGCG